TTTATTATTATACATCTTTTCCTTCCAATGATACATCTGAGAATGCCGAAATCCAAAAAGTTTAGAACACAATAAGCGAACTTCTTTGTTTGGAGACCGGTCAAACCCTGGTGGCAGTCATGTTTGTTTTTATTATTAGAGGACGCTTGCGTGTAATCATACCATATTTGGAATTCGCATTTCCTAATATGGTAGGAAGAAAATACCCAGTAAAATTCCAAGCTAAAACGTTATGGTGGGTTGTTCAGTAGAATAAGCAAACTGTTTGGTCAATGATCACACTAGCATTCAACTAGGCTCTCATCGGACAAATACGCCAGTCCCACGCATTGTGGTATGAGACTGTCACTGTCCTTAGAAACACATAGTGAGCCAATGATGTTTAGCGACGGTCTAATAATGGTCGGAGTATAAATATACGTCAATTATTGGCAAGAAAAATGGGAGCATAAAAGTGTTAATTATTGACTTATACCTGGATTAACGCTTAAATCACGTGAAAAAGTTTTAAATTTCAAATAATGGGAAATGTACTAGACACAATAGCTCAGAAGTTATAAGACCGTACCATCATAAGAAGTTATAAGCTACTGACTCGAAATTCTAACAATATAAAATAAATCTACAGAACAATGAAAAAAGGATTAAAAGTATAATTTGGATCACAGAAAAAGAAAAATATAAAAAACAATAACAACTGGAATCCAGGCATCGAACACCCACCATCTTTTTTCGACACTATATTGCACACGTTATAGAATCCCTCCAGTACATTATTGTCGACACAGTTACATCGAATCCATAACTTCTCTTGAAGACATCGTCTGCTGCAATCCTATATGCACGAACGTGAGGTGAAACGAATTAGTCGTGGATTCACTTTAAATGTGTATGTTTGCTTTCGAGCACAGATATCTAACCCGAAAATCGGGTTTGCTGGTGTTTTTATTAAATATAACATCATCATAAGTGCGGTGTTACATTATGGCGGTAGGGTCGTCACCTGCGCACGCGTGAGGATTGGGTCCTAGGCGATGATAACAACGCACGCTAAAATGCAAAGGCTCATGGGTAGACGCTTGTATGTAAACAATGACACGCTACGGCCGTCTGCTACATGCGCAGGTGTGTCAAAACGAAAATAGAGGGCGCGATTTGTAAGGAGTATATAGAACACTACGTTACGAACAACAGTGCTTCACGCTATGGCCAGACTCTGTACCAATGCGGGATGACTGATTTGGAGAGAGGGAACTCAGCAGGTTCATTTTTTTCCAATATCGCCAGTACAAGTATGTCGTTGAATTTGCTTCATTTCGGATACGTTCAATTCCTGTGATGATGATGTTCACTATTTAATTTTATTATAAACTTGCCATTCCACACTTTCAACTGGGAGGGGTCCCGCTGTTCAATTTTTCACATTGTCGGTGTTTAGTTGTAGCATGTGATGTATACGAGAGAGTGACTCATGCTCGTTCTGGGTGTTATTTTATTTCTATCCCGTTCTGGGGCGAAAGTTGAGAATAACTGATGCTTAATAACTTATAATGTATTAGAAGTGGATATGATACACTATTATTACTATCAATGTTCCACGTAATCATAAAAATACATTCTTTGTGCGAACGTAATTAATGGGCGGTGGTCGTACAACGACCCCTGCACTTTAATTATTTATGACTTAATTACTAATTTATTAGCGACATTGCTTAACATGCCACGCTATATCGACCATGTCCCATTTGTAAGCGACAAGATCCTGACATTTAGAGAAGAATTTGGCCGTTAATCAACTAATTAACTAAACTGTGTCGTCTTGATGCATAGGCAAGCAGAGGACAAATTAAATTATCTTATTCTAGTGATTTGCGTTTTAATTAATATTATCTAATTAATTATTTAGAATAAACACTCGTGAAAGGCTGGTTATACTGCACTTTGCAATTTTAGTAACACAACTGTGTGCACTTAAAATAACAGTACATATAGGTAAATCCGGTAGACATGCGCATTAGAGTTTTGAGCTAAATGGTTTCCCTTACTTTTTTTGGCCAAAGCAGCTTTATGTTTTTATCAAAATGCTCAAATAAAAACAACTTTCAGTTGATGGCAAAATTTTAAGTAACTTGCGCGATAGTCTTAGCGCTGCATATTCAAACTGTTTCGTCGATCATACATTAAACATTTTTTGCTGTTTCATTTTTTACTGGAGGAATGGCGTGATGGCGGTGTTGCTAGCTTACACGTTTCACGAGGGTATCCTCGGGGGGCGGATATCCGGGCATTTTCTACCGCCTGACAACCCTCGCGGTGAAAACAAAGACCAAAAACTCGCAGAAAACGGTACTTTGCGATGGTTGTTGAGAGTCCCCTGAACAGTGTAACAAGATTAGCCCTACGTGTGTAACATATATAAATTTGGTTGTTCAGGATTACTTCAAAGTTGAGTTTGTGTTGTTTTCTCGAATTTTCACCGGCTCGACCGGCGTTCCACAGCAGCGCGCACAGAGCCCATAGAAATGCATGTACAGTGATGCGCGTCGTAGCAACGTGGAACGTCTTGTGACGTAGCTCCGCCCCAGAGGATACTCACTAATTTTGAGTACTTGAATCCAGGTCTTGTTTTGTCTTCATCATTGTTCAAACACTTTCCCCAAGGACTAGGTAGTCGCTCAATGGCTTTCTGAAATTAAGCGAAAAACGGTAACTATTCCTATTGTTCTGGTCGTAGGTTCATTTTCGTCACAACATTCAAAGTTACGTGCTGAACCTGAAGGTTTATTGATTCACATACGGGCAACTGTGATACAATAATATTACACGTAATACGCGTTACTTTGATCTGTGCACTGAACAATAAAACAGCCTGTTTAATCTGTCAAATTATACAGGTTTCATCGATACAGTAATAAAACCCGAAATTCAACTCAAAATCTTGGGTTTACTCGGATTGGCAATGTAAAAATTCAGTTAGTATTTCGGTTTTACCTTCTTTAATCCTATCGACAGCGACTGTCCAACACCCGCCGTGAGTCCAACTGATTCAGGTACCGGGTAAAGGCTACCCGGATGTACCACGACTCGCGCTCCTTCTTGTTGAGTGAACAATCCTACGTATTCGTCAGCCATCGAACATACAGTGTTAATTTCAAGCCTGTAACGGTACACACATACAGTGTTAATTTCAAGCATGTTACGGTACACACATACATTGTTAATTTCAAGCATGTAACGGTACAGACATACGGTGTTAATTTCAAGCCTGTAACGGTACACACATACAGTGTTAATTTCAAGCCTGTAACGGTACAGTCATACGGTGTTAATTTCAAGCATGTAACGGTACACACATACAGTGGTAATTTCAAGCCTGTAACGGTACACACATACATACAGTGTTAATTTCAAGCCTGTAACAGTACACACACGCAGTGCTAATTTCAAGCCTGTAAAGGTACACACACGCAATGATAATTTCAAGCCTGTAACGATACACACATACAGTGTCAATTTCAAGTATGTAACGATACACACTTACACTGTTAATTTCATGCCTGTAACGGTACACACATACAGTGTCAATTTCAAGCATGTAACGCTACACACATACAGTGTTAATTTCAAGCATGTAACGGTACACAC